TGAAGGTCTGAAGAGACTCGGCGAGTTGCATAGTCAACTCGGCGAGCCACATGAAGATGGTCTCGACGAGTTGGATGAACAACTCGGTGAGTCCGATGAAGATTGCCTTGGGCTCGGCGAGTCAGTCGAATGAATCGGCGAGTCGGCTAGGGTTTTTCCCAACCTTTGGACACGCATGAACTCGGCGAGTTATAGGGGAAGTCGACGAGTCAACCAAGGATTTCACGACTTCTTCAATTCATGAAGGAATCAACGAGTCGGTGAACTACACTCGACGAGTCGGGTCAACATAGACTGTTGACTTTGACTGTGGACTTTGACTTTGACCAAGGGTTGACCAGTTGACCTCTGGGGGCATTATGGTAATTTGGAAATTTATGGAAAAAGGGTTTTATGGTAACTATAGGTGGTGGAGTTCGTGTTGGTGATTCGAGAGTTGAGTCTATCATTTTCAGTGCGACATTATGAGCTGAGTTATCCTCACTATACTCAAGGGTCTAAGGCACCAAGGCCGACCCTTTGAATTGTTATTTGGTTATGTTATGCTAGTATGATCTGTTAGATCGGTATCCTAGAGGGTAGGATAATATTATGTGGTATGTGGTATGATCCGTTAGATCAGTTGTTGTCAATAGACTGTTATGCGATTATCTATTATATGTGCACATGTTTGTTAGCGGTTGAGTCTTATCTGCTTTGTGCGAAAGTCAATAGACCTGGGCATTCCAACCTGTTGGTTGTAGGCCGTGAGTATTCCATCCTGAGGATGACTGGACTCATAGTAGGTGGGCATTCCAACCTGTTGGTTGTGGGCCTGGGGTATTCCATCCCGAAGATGATTGGACCCATAGTATGTTGGCATTCCAACCAGATGGTTGATGGCCTGGGGTATTCCAACTCGAGGGTTGACTGGACCCATCGTATGCTGTTTGTGATTGTATGTGTATTGTTGCGGGTATGGGTATTTTGGGGGAACTCACTAAGCTTTTGGGCTTACAGTTTCAGTTTATTGTTTCAGGTACATCAGGGGATCGCGACAAAGTGAAGGCATGATCGTACAGCTCCTCTTGTTTTGTTTATGTTTAAGGGAAAACTCTGATATTATACATTTTGAAAACAAAGATGTATTGATTTTTAATGGGTTGAAATGTTTTTAAAAGTTTTAAATTGGCTTGATTTTATGGGTATTACAGGTTTTCATGGCATAAAGGTGCTAACTTTATGGCCATGGAAGTCCCATGCAACCTTTAGACCATCATTTTGACCTTTTGGAGCTTCTAATGGCCATGCATGTGGAGAAAGTTGGGACTTTACGCTATCTTCTTATCCCTAGAGTCCAGATCTATGACCTCATGGTCTATCTTGTAGTTTTGGTGGTGTTTGGATGAAGTCTTTGGCCTTTTTGGGTTAGGGTTTGAGCTTAATCAATTTAGGAAAGGTATTAATGGTTAAAGTTGGAAACTCTACCTTTCTTGAAGCATTTCCAGTCTAGATCTGGAGTATAGAGAGTAGATATAAAGAATAAGGGCTTAATGCATTAAGAAGGGCTAACAGACTGAAGAACTCGACGAGTTCATACAGGAATTCGACGAGTTGGGTCGAAGTATCCCGATTATGTTAAAAGGAAGAACTCGACGAGTTGGAGGAAAACTCGACAAGTTGGATTGCGATTTCATAATTCTGTGTTTCATGGGAACTCGGCGAGTTGAAGGGTAAACTCGACGAGTTGAGTCAACTCGGAGTGTTGACTTTGACTTTGACCTAGACTTTCCTTTGACCATGGTTGACCCTAAAGATTTATGAGTATGAAATGGCAGCTAAGGGTTTGTTTTGGTTCAGGGATTAAGTAGAGCTGATTTTGGGGCAGAGACGTTTCAGCTATCATCTGACATTTGAGGTGAGTTTCCTCATGGTTTGAACGGGTGGAAGGCACCAATGTCGGCATGTGTATGTTATGTGTGTTGATTAGTAGCTAAGTGTGGGCCTTGCTAAGTCTGGGCAAGGCCCGTATCTTAGCATTACTTGAGTATGGATATGGAATGGATTGGTAGATTTGGTTATACTTGTTGTTTGTGTGATACTTGTATGTATTTTTTAGTTAGTTGAGTGTGGGCGGGGCCCGAATCTCACTATTAGCTGAGTGTGAGCGGGGCCAGTAACTCCTAGTTAGTCGAGTGTCGGCGGGGCCCGTATCTCCTAGATAGTTGAGTGTGGGCGAGGCCCGTATCTCATTAAGCATGGGCGGGGCCCGTATACCATAGGACGGGGCCCGTTATCCGAGTGTGGGCAGGGCCGAATCTCCGTGAGTGTGGGCGGGGCCCGTATATCCTAGTTGCATGTTATGTGTATGATATGTGGTAGTTTGGGGGAAATTCACTAAGCTTCGTGCTTACGGTTTTCAGTTTTGGTTTCAGGTACTTCCGGTAGCAAATGGAAGAGCTCGGGATGATTGCATTGCACACACAATGATGTTAGCCTGGCATGTTTACTCTGATATATTTGACATATGTTTTGATATGGATATACCGTTTACGATGTTTTGAGATACTATGACTTATGTTTTGATAAGATGATTTAATAACTATGGTTTATTTATGATTTAAAAATAAAATTTTTGGTCATGAATTTTGGGATGTTTCATTAATATTTTTGTTACTTCGTTATTCTAATAACTTTGACCTTTAATTAAATGACTCATTTAATGGTTAAACTTTTTTTTATTAATTTAACTTATTGATGATTATCTTTAAGATTATCATATTATACTTTAAATATTTCTACTTTAATATAAAATATTTTTAATTAAGATTAATATTAGAGATTAGTATATAAATATTTCATAAACTATGATAGAAATAATTAAATAATTAAACAATAAAAATTATTTAAATCTATAATATAATTAAAAGAATAAAAATAAAATATATTAATAAAAATATAAAGGTTAATTTTTTAAAACTTTATAATATACTGATAATTTAATATATATTAAATGATCAATAAAAATATAAGAATAACTAGAAACTCCAATATTATTAAATAAAAACAAATGATCCTTCAATAATAATAAAATAATAAATAAATTAATATCGAAGATGCCCTACGTTTAAAAAAAACAATGGGCAATTAGTAATCTAGCCAAATTAAGAAAGTGATTAACAATTTGTAGCCAAAAAATAGGATTTGTCCCAAACTAGCCCACGAAACCGTAGGTGGTTAAAATGGCCTACTGTTTCGCCCATTTACCTACTGTTTTGATTTTAGTGTATAATTTTTTTTTATTTTTCACTACAAAAACCATAGACGAAAAAATGGTCTACTGTTTCCTCTGAGAAGTCTACTGTTTCCCAAAAAGTAGATTAAAAATGATTTACTGTTTCGTCTAAAAACCTACGGTTTTGGGGTTTTTTTGGGTATTTGACTACTAATTCATGTATTTTGACTACTATATCATACCTATTATATATTAAAAGAAAAATCTCTTTTAGAGTAAAAGTTAGTTTTTTTTTTCATCTTAAAAAAAATAAAAACAAAACAAAAAAACCCAAAACCGTAGGTTTTGGACGAAACAGTAGATCATTTTTAATCTACTCTTTGGAAAACAGTAGACTTCTCAGAGGAAACAACAGACCATTTTTTCGTCTACGGTTTCGTAGTGAAAAATGAAAAAAAAAATTTATATACTAAAATCAAAACAGTAGGTAGAAGGGCGAAACAGTAGGCCATTTTAACCATCTACGGTTTCGTGGGCTAGTTTGGGACAAATCTTAATTTTTGGCTAAAAAATGAGAAGTGATTAATGAATTTGGTTAGATTAGTAATTTCCCAAAAAATAACAATTAGTAAATAAGTTTTTAAAAACATAAAAACTCTATAAAATTGGAAAAAGATATTGAAAAGCTTAAAAAAAATAAAAGAAAATAGTCTATGCTGACATCATCTTACTCTGCCTCTCACATCAATTGCAGGCCTACCTCTTGAGTCCTTGTAGAGAGAGTGACAAGTAGAAGGTCTAAGGTTTAACATAAATAATTTTATTTGAATTTGCATGATGAACGGATTTGATGAAGTAATCAAGAGAACTTTGGGACCCACAATCAGCCATAGGCAAGACTAGGCGCGTGAAGTACAAACAAAGTATGGTGCGAGCGGTGGTGGCGTTGGCTTATAAATTCAATTCAACTATACACAAGAAAACACAGTCATCCATATAAATGTATTTATAGGTTTTCCTCCATCGTCACTTTGCCCCTTCACTTCACTTCACTTCACTTCATATCCCCTCCCCTTTTCTCTGCACAGAAAAGCCTCAGAAGAAAGAGCCTTGAGAAAGTGAACTAAATCCTTTCCTTAACCTTCACGCCTCCATATATATTTACACCTCTCTTTTCTCTCACTTCTCATAAAACCCTCTTTCTCTATCTACATTTAAATACCGTCAGAAAGACTTACTCCCAACAACGCACATTTCCCTTCACTCATCACCCTTTTAAACTCACAGTCTTTGAAGTAAAAAAGAAAAGAAGCAGAGCATTTCTTGGATAACGGAGGGGTTTCTGTTAGTTCCTCACTGAAAGTCCCTTCTTGTTTCTTGTTTTCTGTTGTGAGGTTTCATCTTTCTTGATAAATCTTTGATGGGTTCTTGTGAAAAAGATCAAACGTTTGTAAGGTTTGATGGGCCAATCATTGTGGGTGCTGGCCCTTCTGGAATAGCAGTTGCAGCTTGCCTTAAACAAGATGGCATCCCTTCTCTTGTTCTTGAGAGAAGTGACTGTATTGCGTCTTTATGGCAACATAAAACTTATGATCGTTTAAAGCTTCATCTTCCTAAACAATTCTGCGAGCTTCCATTGTTTGGGTACCCAAAGAATTTCCCAAAATATCCCACCAAAAAACAGTTTGTTTCCTACATGGAGGCATATGCAAAGCACTTTGAAATCAAGCCGAGGTTCAACCAATCGGTGGCCAGAGCTGAGTTTGACGCTCAAGTTGGTGTTTGGAGGGTGAATACACAAGACTCTGTCTATGAATCACGGTGGTTGGTGGTGGCCACCGGAGAGAATGCGGAGGCGGTGGTGCCGGAGATTCAGGGAATTGAGAGGTTTGAAGGGGTTGTTAGACATACAAGTGAGTACAAGAGTGGGTGTGTGTTTAGAGAGCAAAGGGTTTTAGTAGTTGGGTGTGGGAATTCTGGCATGGAGGTTAGTTTGGACCTTTGCCGTTACAATGCAAGTCCTTTTATGGTTGTTAGAAACTCTGTAAGTTCATCATCACCACTCTTCTTTTCAGTGTGTGCTTTCAGTGTTGTGTGTGTATCTAGTTATGATTAGGGAATTATTGCTCTAATTCAAAATGTCAAAGTCAATTACATTCGCCTTTTTCTTCACTTTTTGAAATGGATATTCCTTTTTAAAATTTAAAAAGATCAATATTTCAAAACTCAAAACATCCCACTTTCTTGTGTATTTCTTGAATCTTTTCTTTTCTTGTTTATAATCCCTAAACTTTATGTTTTTCCATATTGGTATTTCATCTTTTTTCTTAAAGAATCCTTTCTTGACATAGAAATTTCTTTTAGTCGTAAAAAAATCCTTAAAAAGCGTCTATATTTAATGAGTAGTTGCAATCCTTTTGGTTATTTTAATGCTATAAAGACTTTCTTGACGTACTTTGACTTTGGGGGATGTTCATACGGTTGTTTTAATGTAATTACAGGTTCATGTTCTGCCTAGAGAGATGTTTGGATTCCCAACATTTGGAATTGCTATGGGACTTCTCAAGTGGCTACCTCTTAGGGTGGTGGATAAATTAATCTTGTTTATGGCCAATTTAACACTAGGAAACACCGATAAATTAGGCCTACGGAGGCCTAAAACTGGCCCCCTTGAGCTAAAAAACGCCACGGGTAAAACCCCAGTACTTGACACCGGAGCCTTATCTCTAATCAAATCCGGTAACATCAAGGTAACTATTGAAAGATTCAACACATGCAATAATGAGTTGTAACGTACGATTCTTAAATCTTGTTTGTGTTTTATTGGAATGTTTGTAGGTTGTGGAGCAAGGAGTGAGAGAAATAACTAGAAATGGAGCCAAATTCATGGATGGTCAAGAAATTGCATTTGATTCGATTGTGTTGGCAACGGGGTATAAGAGCAATGTGCCATTTTGGCTCAAGGTAAATAGCATGGCATCCATTTAGCTCTTTTATCAAATCATGTATGAAATAAGTGTATGCTATATAAGAGACATGTTTCAAAATATGTACTTTGAATACAATACTTGTAATGTATTTTACTATTTGAATTTTATCTTATTCTCCATCTCACATCACTTTCCAAGTCTTACACATCGAGAAGCCTACAAAATGGTTTTTAGTAACCAAAAAGGTGAAAAACTGGTGGCACTTGTTTGGATGATTCTCAATCTCTTAACATTTTTGTTGTCATTTTATGATGTGTTAACATCAGCTAGTATTCTCATGATTATATTTCTCATTTTTTATGTCTTTTTGCTTAAAATGATTTAAATAGCTTACAAAAATGAAGTTTCTAAATCAAGAGTAATGTACTAGTTTTGATCCATATCCTACTAGTCATTGTAGGATTTTAGTTCTGGTTTTAGTAATTTCTTCTCTGGGAGTAATGATCACCATAAAATAATATTTTTTGTTAAAGAATCATAATTGAAATATGTTGTGCTTATAATGATCTCATTATTTTGTCCTTTGATAATGAGCTGGGTCATTGACCATGACCCACATCTTTCAGATATGTATGTGGCGTATAATTTATAAACTATAAAATTTTAATTTTAATTTTAGAAAGGTTAAGACTTAGGATCCGAATGTTTTAACTTTTTACTAGTTAAATATCTTTAATTTATTGTGTTAGATCATTATATCTTATGTTCTAATGTTTTTGTTCTTGTTCTTGTTTGATATAGGGAAGCGACTTTTTTACCAAAGAGGGAATGCCTAAAATGTCTTTTCCAAACGGCTGGAAAGGGGAGAATGGGTTATACACGGTTGGGTTCACTCGAAGGGGTCTTCTTGGAACCACATGTGATGCCCTTAAAATTGCCAAGCACGTTACTGGTCAATGGCGGTCAACGACTTGCAAACCCTAAGAAACAGTTTAAATCGAAGGGATGTGCCAATATTGGAATAAAATGAACAAAGAAAGTAACATAATTAAATAGGGTTTTATTTTTCTTTAGAGGGTGGAGGGGTATGGTGATATTTACTTAGGGGGTCTTATTTTGTAGTTGGAATGTTTACCAAGCAACATTGTATTACTTCTTCGAGGGGTGATGAGGTTAAAAATGTAAATTAACAAGTTTTGTAGTTCGCTTTTTTGTTTTTTAATCTTTAAATGCATGACTCGGTTGTATTGTACATTCCATGCCTTCAATAAAGTTTTCTTTTTCTTTTTTTGTGTTTTACCCTCTTTAATGTCATAAGTATTTCATACCAGTTATCACCATAAAACATGTTTGAAAATATGTAGTAATTTAATTATACTTTTCAATTCTGCGTCTAGCTCAAAGGTTTAAAGCAGTCAAAAAGACGTTCAAGTCTTGGTGAGCTAATTCTCGGTCTATAGAACATTAGGAGTGCAATGATCAAAAGAAAAATGAACGAGCTTGAGTTTTGGCAGAATCAAGGCCCTTGGACTCAACAAACAATTTTCACAAAAAAAAAAAAAAAAATTGGTGAAACTGAAACCGTCAAAGAAGTGGACTTGAACCAGAAGGCAAGAATAAAATGGGTCATTAAGGCTGATAAAACACTTCCTTCTTCCATGGACCATGGTATCATCCATGGAAACACAGGTCCCGTATCAACGGTATGACTATTAATTGGCGTGGGTCACTAATTCAAATGCTATTAAAGAAGTGATATGGAGTTTCTTTTCTGAGTCTTCCTTCTATAGATCGTCATTGATTACCAACAAGCTCAAAATCATTCCTTCGTGATTAGTGACTTTACTGAAGAGCCATTTTTCCTCTCCAAAGTTAAAGAAACCATTTGATGTTGTGATAAATGACAATGCACCAACCCGACGGATTTACCTTTAAGGTGGTGTTTGGTTCGTAGAATATTTTTGAAGAAATTAGAATCAGTTAAGGAATTTCAATCAAATTTCATATTCTGTTTGGTTGGCAGAAATAAATTTGAATCTAATTTCATATTATGTTTGGTTGGCAGAAAATGAAACTGAAATAATATAAAATGACAAAATTGCATTTTTTTTTGCATATTTTTACTTTGTTTTATAACTTATATGTAAAAATATATTATATAAATTATAAAATTAGTAAATGATGGTGATGGTGGCAGTGATGTTGACAGTGGCAATAGTGGTGATGACGACGACAGAGGTGATGGTGGATGGTAGCGGAGGTGATGACGGTGGTGACGGTGGTAATTGTGATAGTGATGGTGATGGTGGCGGTCATGAGTAGTGGCGGAGGTTGTGGGTGGTGTAATGGTGGAGGTGGCAATGGTGGTAGTAACAGTGGTGGTGATGAAGGTAGTGGCGTAGGTGTTGGTGGTGGTGGCGGAGGTAATGGTGGTGATGGTAGCAGTGATGGTATGGTCGCGGTGGTGAGTGGTGGTGGAGGTGGAAGGTAGTGTGGTGGTATAGGTGGTGACGGTGGTGGTGGTGGGTAGTCGTGGCAGTGGTAGGTGGTGGTACAGGTGATGTGTAGCGGGTGGTGACGACGATGATGTATGGTGGTGGAGGAGGTGGTGGTTGAGGCGGAGGTGGTAGGTAGCGGTGGTAGTGGTCGATGGTGGTGGAGGTGATGGTGCTAGTGGGTGCAGGGTGGTGGTAGCAGAGGTATCGGTGGTGGTGATGGTGGATGGCGGTGGAGGTGGTGGTGGTGGTGTGTAGCAGTGGTGGTTGGTGGTGGAGATGGTGGTGGTGGTGGCGACAAAGGGGTTTCATATGTAGTGCTAAAAGTAAAATGTGTAATATGGTAACATTCAACATTCTCACTTGAAAGGAATTTTAATTCCTTAAGTTTTTGGATGGAATCTATTTTCCCTCATTGGAAGGAAAATTTGACTCATTTAGGAATCCAATTCATTTTGAAAGCTTGAACCAAACAAAGGAAAGTGATGGAATTAAATTCCAATTCCTTTTAATTCCAGTGGATTCCAGCAAACCAAACAATACGTAAGTTTCTTAAAGAAATTTATGACTTGGGAAAAGACGATTTCTTGAGCTTTATAAAGGATTTTGAAATCTCATGCTAATTCAGTTAAGTATTTAATGCTTCATTTATTTCACTCATCTGAGAGTTCAAGATCCATAGTCTCTTAGAGACAACTATCAATATTCTCATATCCCCCCTTGCGATGACAACTTGGTGGATGTGGTGTAAAATTCATAAAGTAGGTTCAAACTTTGCACACCTAAAATATTACGAGTGTTACATGATTTACCACCCATATGATGGGCCTTAGGATGGGTTCGATGAGGGTCGTACATAGGGTACAACTTACCCTTTAGACATTATTGGCCAATCAACCTTATTGTGTGTTGGTACAAAGCATAATCTAAGTTACTAGCCAACTGTCTCAAATAGGTTTATTGCTTAGGTCATTGACCCTAGCAATTGGCGTATGTGGAACATAGAAAGGTGCTTGATGAACCGCTCATCATTTTAAGTTCTTTCTTGGGCAAAGAAATTCATTAAGAAAATGATGATATTTAAAATAGATTTTGATAAGGGGTTTGACTCTTTAAATTGCACTTCCCTTGATTCATGATGAAGAAAATGGTATTCATACACACTTGAAGAAATTAGATTAAAGGTTGCCTCTTTTTTTGTACAACTTTAATTTTGGTAAATTATTACCATGCCATTGAATTTGTTATAAGTAAGGGTGTTCGATAAGGTGATCCACTATCGCCTTTCCTCTTCATCATTGTCATAGAAGGGCTTAAAATAGTTATGAAAGCGGTTTAACACTCGAGTTTGGTAAGTTTCACATTTAAGTCCTTTTTATCTAAAAGCTTTGCATTTTGGTCCTTAAGCTAGTACGTGGGGCGTACTAGGTGATACGCTTAGCGTACTAGCCTGATATCTTGATCGCGGATCCCATCCACATACGCTGGGCGTACGTGGAGTATGCATGGCGTACGTGAGCATGAGTGAAACCCTAATTTTTAGGGTTTGCATCCTATTTAAACCTTATAATAGCCTCATTTGGTCATGTTTAGCCAGCCTCCACCTTCCTTTGCCCTGAAATTGATTCCCAAGTGTGTTTTTGTGAGTTTTGAGCCTTAAAGAGTGTTTGTTGGTGGTTTGTAAAGGAGAAGAAGAAGAGGACCATTTTGGAGTGGTGTCTTGAGCTTAAAGATCCGGGGTTAGCTCATCATTTGCAAGCTTTTTGAGGTAAAAAGCTCACATATTGATGATCCATGATGCTAGATCTAGTTATGTTGTTATTTTATGCATTTTGAGTCCTTGGAGTGATTGATGAGCTTCTTGACTCACTCCAGAAGTATTGGTGTTAGATCTAGGCTTCTTTTGGTCCCTTTGTTCATAAAAATACAAGCTTTATGGTATATCTTGAACCATGCATGTGTTAAGACCTTTGTTAAGCTCTTTTTGAGCTCTTGATCCCCATTAAGCCATGCATGTGTGTAAAGTTGCCAACTTTACGTAATAAGTGGTATTATAGAATCATATCTGAGATTTTTGCTTGAAGTCTCAATGGATTAAGTGCTTAATGGAGTGGGGTGGCCAACTGGGGAGTACGCTGGGCGTACTAGCCCAAAGGGTGTATGCTAAGCGTACAAGTTAAGTACGCCCCACGTACTCAGCAGATGGACTTTTTGGGATTGCATTCTCGGTTTGGGCCATAGGTTGGGTTTTCTTCAATTGGGCCTTGTTGGGCCATTAGATTTCTGATTTGGGCTTTTGGCTAGTGTCTTGGGTTCTTTGGTTTTAGGCCCATGATAGGTTTGGGCCCAATTTGGAAGATTGGGCCATATTTGGGCTTTGAGTTATCAAATAGAATGTGGGCCTTTATAGTAGTTGAATTGGGCCTTGGTCCTCGGCCAAGTTAGATAAAGGGCAAAATGGCCTTTTGCTTTGATGATGGGCCCAATTATTTAGAATGATGGTTATGGATTTAGAATCCAATTATTAATTGGATGTTATTGGTATTGATAGCGCAGGGATTGTCAGACCATCAGACAGAGATTTATCTTAGTGACTCAGCAGCTTGAGGTGAGTTTTCTCACGGGGTTTAACGGGTCGAATGTACCAATGTCGGCCCATGGTTTATTACGTTAGGATGCTAGATGTCTGTGTGACTCTTGCATGTGTTATGTGCTGGTATGTATACTGAGCGGGGCTCAATGTCGGGCGAGGCCCGATGACTGTATTGTATGCTATTGTCTTTGTAACTATCGCATGTGTTAGCCTAATTAAGTGTTTATATGTTTATATGTATAACAGATGGGGCCCGATGTTAGGCAGTGCCTGATGATTGACAAATCTGTAAACCGAGGGGGCTCGATGTCGAGAAGGGCCCGAGGCCGGGTGGGACTCAATACAGGGAGAGGCCCAATGAAGGGCGGGGGCCTAGTATGTGTTTATTATGTATGGTATGTGGTAGTTTAGGGACCTCACTAAACTTTGTGCTTACGGTTTTTAGTTTATGTTTCAGGTACTTCTTGTGCAAAGGGGAAGAGCTCGGGGTGATTGCAGTGCACACACTATTTGTTCCGCATTTTTATGATTACTCTGATGTTTTATGATCGAGATGATATATTTGGATTTTCTATGATTATGAATATGTTTGGATAATTGTTTTGGCTAATTAAAAATTAAAAATTTTTGGTCTATATTTTTGGGATGTTACAAGCGGCATGTCAGAACAAGGTATACCATGGCATATCTATTGTTAATAATAAGCCCTATTTGTCACACCTCATGTATGTCGTTGATGTGTGGTTCATTGGGGAATGGTTCTCTGTAAATATGCTTAATTTAATTGGATGCTTAGATGTTTCTATCAAGTATCCAACCTAAATGTATACTTTCACAAAATTAAGATTTATCGTATTAGTTTTGATGCCTTGAAATATCTAGACTTGCCTCCATTG